TTGTCAAGAAAAGGATCCAGAACTTCGGAAGCTTCGGGAGCTTCGGGAATGGAATAAAGCGAATCGCCGCCCTTCTTCGCCAAGAAAGTAGCACCATCTTCGCCAAGAAAGTAGCACCATCTTCACAGACCTTGAAGGCGTACTGGCGTCAGTGGGACTCCTTGGTATTAGAAGAAGACCTGCTGAAGAGGAATCACGAGAGCGAAGACGGGTCGAATAATCGGATGCAGTTAGTAATTTCTAGGAACCTAGTGTCGGAAGTACTCTGATAAGTACATGATGGAACTTCAGGGGGACATCTAGGACTGAAGAAGACATTGCAGCGGGTACGTGAGCGGTTCTATTGGGTGAACTGCAGTGACGACGTCAGGAAGTGGTGCCGTAAATGCACAGTATGCTTTGCCAGCAATGGGCCTCATCGTAAACCAAGGGCCCCCATGAGACAGGACAATGTTGAATGCCCTTTCGAGAGAATTGCCATGTATATTGCTGGGCTATTTCCAGTGACTGATAATGGAAATGAATACATTCTTGTCTGCATGGACTAATTCATCAAGTGGGTGGAAGCGTATGCGATCCCTAACCAGGAGGCCGTAACTGTCGTCGATTTCCAAATGAATCAGTCGTTTTGGGGTGCTATTGGATCTTCACTCTGATCAGGGCCGGAACTTCGAGAGTGAAGTGTTCAAGAAGAAGAGCGAGAAGTTAGGAATCAAGAAGACAAGAACAACTCTATTGCATCCGCAGTCAGATGGCATGGTGGAGCGAATGAACCGAAACATAGAGAGGTATCTCTGCAAAGTTGTGGATCAACACCAACAAGACTGGGACCAACATCTCCCTTTCTTTCTGAGGGCCTACAGATCTGCAGTACAGGAATCTACAGGGCAGACTCCGGCGAATGTTCTATTTAGACGAGAAATGAGGCTTCCATGTGACTTGGTCTTCGGATGTAGACCTATTTGGACGAGAAATGAGGCTTACATGTGAATTGGTCTTCGGATGTATACCTGGTGAGGATATAGTGGCGGAAGATCACGTTACGAATCTGATGAAAAAGTTGAACGATATTCACGAATTGGTTCGTTCTTATCTGAAAATCGCCGCATTAAAGACCTATACGACAGAGATCTTGGGAAGGACCGTATATTGTCAAGAAGAAGATCAACGATGTCATTTACCGCATCAGTAAAGTACCCAGTCGCAAACCAAGAGTCGTTCATTTCAACAGACTAGCACCACAAGATCAACAAGTATGTCTGAAAGAAAAGGAGCTCACATTCACAAAAGCAAGGTTTGGCATCACCAAGAAAGAGCACCGCGACATTTTTGCCTACTCCTGTAGACTACGCACTAGTTCTCTGCGTCGCCAAGGATCTTCAGATGTCTCAAGGAATAGCCAACAAGTTCATGAGGGAATTCGGAAAGTTAGAGGAGCTTCATCAACAGGGTCCCTCCGTCGGTCGAGCACTAGAAATAGAAGATATCATTCCTGAAGGAAAAAGGTGTGTGTTTTATCTAATAACGAAAGCAAGATCTTCTGAGAAACCCACTTACGAGGACCTCTGGGATACGCTAGTCGACTTACGAAGCGCCATACTCGACAAGGACAGACAGAAGGTAGCTGGCGTGTAGTCTGGATGGCTTGAATTGGAGAATTGTAAGAAATATGCTGGAGGTTGTATTAAGATTCACGGAATTCTGGTATGCTGCTGAAACTCCAAAGGAACCTCAAGAGAAAAGACAGTGCCATGCTATTTCTACCGTACTGCACGTTGTAGAAATGAAACAAGTTGTCCGTATCGTCATAACGAGCAGAGTGCATTCCAGGAGGAATGCGTTTTAAGAAGGGGGCAGTGTAATGATATTCCACTTAAAGGGGCTTTAGAACATCATCAGAAAGGCAGGAGTACCACGATCACCCAGTAACACGCGTCCCGGATCACTCTCGAACAATACAATGATCCTAACATGTACCAGCGTATTTCCGAACACCCAATATGTGTCACGGCGACACATAACCTGACAGAAGAAGAATCTGGAATCATCTCGAAACAATCAGAGAGAGAAAGAGATATTGTTCTAGTCAAGTTCCATATAAATTAGTGTTCCTTTAGTTGAAATAAACCAGTTCGAAAATAAATAGTGTCGAGTTCGCTTCTGCACCCGAATAACGTAACAATATATACAGGGTGAGTCAGTTTCTTGTAGTAGAACTTCACAGCTCAAAGAATTTACAATTTGAAGATAAAATGCTTATGTAGATATACCGGGTGAGACAGAGGGTATCGGGCCACCCCTGTAACTTCTGCATTCATAAACGGATTTTTCTGAAATTTGATACAGTTATATAAGCAATCATTTCGGATTTGTTCACATTACAATCCAATATGGCGGACTTCCGGTTTTGTATATTTTTACATATTCAAGAACAAGAGGTCAAAACAAGTGCAATCTTTATGTCAAATGTCATTCTTCCGGACTTGCGCATACAAATTCGTTTCTGGCGGCCTATTAGGTTTCGCATTGGGACATTGGGTGAGGGGTAATCTGTGCTATATATGGGGACGGTGCGAGAGGGTGAGAGATAAAGAAAGAGTGAGAAGGACAGAGTGGCGCGAAGTGGGAAAACATAGTTCCTAGCGGCTGCAAGCACGCACACTTAATTGATGATTTTTGCTATTTCGGCTTGTGCAAATCGGCAGATTATTTTATGCACACTTTTCTGCATGTAATTAACTTACCTTGCTTTAATCTGACGCGCTCGAGTTTTTCCAACTATCGTTTTTTTTACAAATCTGATCGGCTGCCCTAGACGTTCGACACCATATAAAGAGCCCAGGTAGGGTGGGAGTACTTCACAAGGTGCAAGGTTACCCCCTTATGATATTCTTCCGCGCTCGAGTAAATACCAAAATCCCCGCTTGGGCTCCCCTACTGATAGTGGTCCTACAACTAAAGCACTATGCTGATAGGGGTGTCACTACCTGCATTCTGTATTTTACTTGAGAGGAATAGAACCACCAGTCTTATTGAGAGAACTAGATCTCATAACTGAATCATTCAAACCTCAAGGTTATCGGAAGGTGATTCGGAAAAAGGAAAGTACTTTCAACCTAAGTTGTCTAAATGAATCTTTTTCCTGAAATGTATATTTCTGAAACATTAAAATTCGAAAAAAAAAATTGACGCCTCGCAGGGATTGAACCCCAGCCACCAACGTGGAAGTCACTTTAAAGACTTTTATTGTTCACAACTTAATTTTTTACAACATATATTTCACAACCACATATTATATAAAGGACGTCCGCGTAGCGCAGAGGTGGCTGGTGTTGGCCAGGGAATGTGGGTGTTTTTTATGAAGTGTTATGGCGAGTTCACATGGCAGCTTATGCCTACAGCAGAAAGCTTGAATAAAACGGGCGCACTGTTCACATGAGAAAGTTGGAAAAGTGACAGTTACTGCCACATATTTGGTTGAATTTCAGATGTACGTCCTCCAGAAACCACATTTATCACATTTTTAGGAGTGTTTTTCCAGTATTGTTTCCCACACTGCATAATATAATGATATAGCACCAATATGTATTCATTTTGTCAATATTTGTGTGGTCCTGTCAAACGATCTGGGCTTTTTTCCGCAAAAGTCGGACTGAAACCGACTTTCTAGCTTATGACCTCGATAAGCGCTTTCTGACGAATCGGCCAATGAGATGAGGATACGCTGTAAGTCAAAAGGCGAAAAGCCAGCATGTGAACGCGCCATTGTCTCAGAAGCCTATCTCCTGGGGCCTGGCCCCTTATATAGGTGATCTCGCCGAGGTTACCCAAGTGGGCGGGGGAGCTGATCAATCGCTATCGGTGGTGAGTGGTTCGTAAGGAGATGGAGGAAAATAAAATTTGAAAAACAAAAACCTCCTGCAGCGTGGAAGTCAGATACACAGACAGCTAAGCTATCGCTTTAATCGTGGTAGCGTAGTTTCTCAATATAAAGATGGAAGAAATATCATGTGTTGTGGGTGACGTCACTTGACCTCGATGTTCGAAAGATTCGCTGGTCTAGCTTCTCACCGCTCCATCAGCCGCTCTTGGTCTGCTGAGAATTGGGAATATTTATATAAAGTAACGCTTCGGGTATATCAATCATTACGAAGACGCCGGCTGATACATGATGATTTAGTCATGTTATCGCCATCTAGTGGCAGTCAATCCATTCTAATTCGTCTAATGTTGGCTGATTTCATTCCATATGGTACAATGAGAAAAATAGTCCATTAGGAACAAGCAGCTGAAGCACCAAGTATTTTCATATTGTCACAACAAAAAAAGGGTTGTTTCCACGATATCAATTGATATCATATGTTACGATAAAATAGAGATGGTTAATTCATCCTTATCGATTTATAAAGGGGTAATGCTTGGCTCAATATTTTGCGAGAGGTAATATTCAAATAGGCACTAATAGTTTAGGGGTGACTGAAAGTATGAGAATATATTCAAACATAACAATATTTCCATAAACAAGACACACAAAGTCATCTCCGCAAATTTATTGACTGAGTAATCAGTATCTGTACATGTTTAGGACTATCAATAGTCCATCATCAGCAGCATATTTTAATTGACAATTTTGTGGAAATGAAAAAAGGAGAAGTTGATAAACGTTTGCACGATATGCACGTTTCTCATGAGAGTTCCTTGATCAGTTTTTATAATTCAATGTCAACGGATGATTTGATTTACTTTATGTTTATAAAACCCTCATGGTTCGAAATTACTGATATACCTACCGTATGTTCTACTCGTGACAATATTACAGTTATTGCTATAAGAAAAGAAAATTGAATTTCTATTTGTTTACTACATCTTCTCTATTTATTAACAATAATTTGCTTAAAAATTGTAATTATACTATGTGTACTTTATTTTCTGAAATGAATCGATGATGATTATCATTGTAATATACATAATTTATATTTTTATGTACTTTTCTTTTACAGTGAAAGTAGACAGAGAAAAGCAGCAAATTATTCTGGACGAAAAATTGGAGGCAATTTTGGTTGATGACCTTCGTGAATCCCTACCAGGTCATCAACCAAGGTATATTGTATTATCATACCGTCAAGAACACAAAGATGGCAGAATATCCTACCCATTATGTTTTATTTTCTTCACGCCCAGGTAAGCCATTTGTGCAAATTCATAATAGTTATTATGTATCAAGGTCGTAAAGTAGGCTTTTATGGACCGTAGCGAGTAAGTAAACACGCTGAAAGGTCTGTACAAAATGATACCATAGACTCCTGAGACCAGAGTGAGATGATTGCACCAAACTAACCTCTATACCAAAATGCTACGTTTAGCCGCTACAGGTTGTACTTGATTTTTGTATGAAATCATCAATCATATCAATGATATTCAACATGTGGCACACATTTCTCCACGAATTCAAAAGACAGAGTGTTGCATAAAAATAAAAAATGGAAATTCAATTCCATCGTCCTGTAGCGGCTGAAGGTGTCGAGCTCATCGTCATAATATAAATGCATATTTAGTTTCATCAAAAATTCATATTTTGTTAATACGGACTAAAAAAATAATCATTCAATCATTCACAAGTCTAAATAGGTTTTCAACTTTCTGAGACTGTCACTATTACTAGAATGGTGTACACAATACGGTGTGAACCTTGTTCGACAAAGAATGAGCCTGTTTCAGTGAGAAATATTATATCATTATTTCGAAGTACTAACCTCAACTAGTTGACTATCGCAAGCCGTTTTTCCTCAGAGCTCTGTTACTTCTTTGAGTAATTATTGAAATTCACGATATTTCATAACATGATAAACGCGGAAAACGCATAACGTAATCATTTCTGGTAGACAAGTGCAAGAATATTTCTAATTGTCATTTCAATCGGAATATGGAATACATTTTATGGATTGAATACTTACTGCAGATAACATAGAACACAACACACAACTAAAGAATCAGATAATATGAGCAGGATTATCTTTGAATATTCGCATCTTGATTCGATGAAACAAGAATTTGACGATGAAGGTGACAGCCGATATTAACGTCAGGAAGTTCTTCTTATTTTTGTCTTTCTGGGAACCTAGGCATTACACTGTTGCCCGTGTCACAAAATAATTTGGGATTAAATAAAATCTCGATCATTATTAAGAATACTAGGATATTTTTATTGGTACTGAAGCATCTTGCAAGTATATAAGTATTCAATAAGTGATTATTAGGGGCCAGGTCGAACTATTGTCTTCTGTGAATGTGAATACTATTGTCATTGGTCATATTGAATCTCATAAGGTAATTACTAGTTATGAATCTGGCAGTTGCGAAATATGTGGTCTTACTTTTTATGCGAAAGCAAGAATTCGGTCGAATAATTAATCTATAATTCGGGGAAACAGCTTGAGGTCATTAGAGATCCTTAAGGATCTCGCTTTAAATGGAATGCTAATCGCCTATACAGGGTGATTCACGAGGAGACGATTTTGTTTCATATTTTTTCATTGAACCGGTGCAAGTGTGCCGTGCAAATTGAAGAGCAGTTCTTATGGCGTTCTGTCTGATCTTTCTAAATCTGATGACATTTTCAAGAAAAGTGATCACAAATAGAACTTTTTCGATATAAAAATAAAACATACATTTCTTCCAAGTCCGGATCTGTTTTTTTTTTCATAATATGCTATTTTGATTAGTTTCAATCAAGGTTTCGATAGAGAAACATCGCAGCCAAATTTTACAAAACGATAATTCATTTCTGATATACTGTTCATAAGAGTTTTAGGACGATTTCACGTCTTCGTTATACATGGTTATTTATCACCATATTTTCCAACATAAAAGTTGATTTTATTTGAAATTTGTCAACTTGCTTATAACTAAGAGTACCTTTTTTGTGTAGAAGATATTTGCGGTTCAAGTGGGCTGCTCAAGATTGTCCTTTTTCCAGTGGCGTAGAAATTGAGGATGAAAACAACAACTGCCCCTTCAAAATCTTCAATAATTATGATATATCGAAAAATAATCCGCACAAAACATAGCTTATTATTTTCATATTTTTTCTATGATCACATCCCGAAGTCCTGCGCATATATTATGAAACCCTGTATAGTACCTAATCAACGAGCTTCTTTGTCTTCGAAAATGTGGACAAAAATCTGAAATATTCAGATTCTCAAGCCTGCTATTGTTTGTTGAAGGGGGCAGAATTCAAAAACGACTATTAGGCAAAAAGTAGATAACCGTTTCGATTCAGGCATAGCTGAAATACCCCCCTACAAAATTTTCACGCAATACCTCATATAGGGAGTTTGTTATCCAATTGCGTTGAAATTTTTAATGTGAATATTTTTGGAAAAAATGCCTAATAGTCGTTTTTGAGTTTTGAGATGTTTACCCCTTTTAGAAAAATAGTTGGCCTTGAGAATCTGAACATTTTAGATTTGTCCACATTTTCGAAAGAAAATCGGTCAACGGGTTTCAAATTAGGAGGGTGTATCAGTATATTCTCCCGCATTTTGTTCTTATGTTTTGAGAAAAAAAATCGAAAATTCAACTTGGTGACAGATTTGTAACCGCCATACCCACAGCCTTCAAAAATTGTGTTAACTATGTAGTTTTTCCTCAAAAATTCCTTCCACACTTTTTCAAGGAGAAATGTGGAAATTGGCACCAGTTTCAATATATTATCTTGAAAATAATTGATCATCATATTTCTAGGGATAGTCATGCCGAACTACAGATGATGTATGCCGGTTCTAAACTGGCATTGCAGCAAGAAGCTGGTCTAACCAGAGGCTTTGAGATTAGGGAACTAGAAGATTTAACAGAAGAGTGGTTGTTGAGCAAGTTAGGAAATTGAAAAAGGTGGGCTCATTTCAGACAACTAATGCTTTATTAATGTTTTTGTCATCAACATATGAAATTGAACCAAAAAAAGTTCTATAGAGTTGATTGAGAACAAAAGCCCAAGTATGAAACTTTAATCCACAATACTACACTGGCCAGCAAAATCAACGCAGTACTTCAAATTTACTGTAGGTTTTGTTTCACCCACACGTTCATACATACATAGAAGATCTAACGTTTAATGCTTTTTAGAGTTAGGACACACATGTCTTGCCTTGAAATATCTGAAAAAGTAATGGAAACACAAATGCATTTAATAAGAGATAGAGTGGCAGCAACCTCAAAATGGCTGCCATTTCCGCAATGTTATTCGTGGTCAGGTCACTGAATAGCTAAACATCTATAAATGGTATCTCACATGCAGTAATGAATTTGCGCCTGCGAATTGCCCACCTGATGTTAGGTTTAGATATTCGATATTTTCATTTCATCATGTGAGAGTTACTAGTCCCAAAAGACGGATTTTAATAGTTGATATCCAAGGTATCGACGTATAGAGTTTCATGTCTGATTGTCCATATTAGAGACTGAATAAAATAGAGTGGCGACGATAAACCTCAAAAATGGCTGCCGTTGCCAGAATGTCATTCGTGGCCAGTCACTGAATAGCTAAAAATCTGAAGGGTACCTCCCATGCAGTGATGAATTTGCGCATTCAAAGTGCCCACCTGATGAGTGGTTTGATATTTGTTATTTTCATTTCATCATCTTAATAATCTGAGTCCCAAAAAGAGCGAGAAAGAGTGACAAAGTGACGTCGAATGCGTAGAACTGCTGGAGAAAACAAGACAGGCGATGCACCTCCATATTTGAGGTCTACCTATCAAAAAGTGCATCACTATTGTCGTCAATCTATTTCTGTACCCCTCCATTGAAAGAGCGCAGACATTGTTCACAGGAAATTAAGTTTTTGATGATACAAAAATCTCATACTGAATTCAGCAATTATGCAATATAAACTTTTAGATGGAGAGCTGACAACACATTTCATTTTCCGATTAATAGAACGATATCTCTTACCTCCTACTGATATAGCACATGTTTTTAACCCAATGGTAATCAAAATTGACTTTCACAATCAATGACGTGTAGTATTTCCGTATTATAACTTCATTAACCACGCTGCAAACTTGATATTAAACTACTAGTTGCTCATTCAAAAATTCGCTTCAACGTCTAACATCATCAAGGGAAAGTGGTGAGTTGGTTCTATCAGATCACTTTCTGAACTATGCAATGGCCAATTTGAACTCAAAATTCACTTTATGTAAATTGCATCTCCTCAACAGAGAAGTGGATGACATAATTTGGTAATAAAGTACTCTCAGTGACTTCATATGACGTAAAGCTGTCGGTCATTGAGCAGCTGATGGGGGACAAGCATAAACATATTCCATAGGGGTACATGTAAATTTCTTGCACCTTTTTTTTTAATTGCATTTCCTCGTTGGATAGCAAATACAAACATCCATGGCCTAACTGGGATTCCAACCCATGACTCTGTGGGAGTCCCCATACGAACTCAGCGCCTTTGCGCTCTATATATTTCAATTGTTATTCATTATTGGTGGGGTGTTCAAAATTTCCATTAAAAAAACATGTTTTTATGAAAAAAATATTTCAAGGTGAGTTGATTTTGCTGGTCAGATTATTTGTCTTGCCATCATTTCATTGTATTAATTTATTTATCAGTTTGGGTGACTTGACGATTAACAAAGAGGTTGAAAACCCAGTAGAGACTAGGCAATTTTTTAAACAAATGATATATGATGTATATATGAGATATATTGCTATGATTTTTTATTTTATAATAATCCTTTTTATTTAGAAAATTGAAAGTGTATGAGTTATTGCTTTGAAAATTTGAGGCTACAAAAGTATGTTATCACTAGACAAATCTGATGATTTGATCTTATACAGAGTTCATACTCAAATCGGTTCAAATTCAGTAAATAGAAGAGTTGAAAAATTTCGAGCAGGTCAATATATATATTATACACATTTTCGAATTTAGAAAAATAGTATCAAAAAATTGTCAGTTTTCGTCATCTCTGTTGGAATATTTTATGAACGATGATACCTTTTTCGGGTTTGTAGACCTCAATGCATTGTCCATTGGCCCTTGATCAAGGGAAATTTTGTCTATTTCAATCAATTTCATATCTTAAGTAGTGTAGATTTCATTATATGAGTTTCGTATTCAACTATAAGTACATATATTATAGCTACTCAATTTATATTTTCAATCTATAATGGAACATTGTTATTAAAAGAGACTATTGTTTTTTATAGAAAAGATTATTGTAACTGTGCTTTACATTATTTTCAAGGAAGTGAAATGTGAAATATTATTTTATAAGAAGTATATACAAAAAATCTCGATATCTCAATTCAGCGGATGATATAAAAAACCTGGATGACTTTATCATTTGTCAGTTTTTTTTTTTTTTTTTTTTTTTTTTATCGCTTGGAGCGCACGAAAGGGAATCCCTATAATGTTCAAAGAACATCGTGCGTTCCTAGGGAGGATAGGGACAAGAGGTAGGTATTGGAATTTTTTTTGAACTTTTGAAGATTATATGTTGTTGGGAATACTTCCACAGGCAATGAATTCCACAGCCTAGCCGTTCTATGGATGAAGGAGTCTTGATAAAGTGCTGTTCGACATCTTTCGAGGTTGACAACGAAAGGATGTGCTGACTGGGCTTGTCTTGTTCGTCTGATTGGTATTGCTAGTGGAGGGATGATAGCAGAGATTTCCGAAGAACATTTCCCGTGGAAGTATCGATAGAAAAGTGAAAGGTCGCCGACCTTTCTACGGTGTTCCAATGATGTCAAAGAGTGAGTGAGTGTGGCGTCACCCACCAGGCGAATGGCTCTTCTCTGGATGGAATCTAAGAGCATCAGCGTATGTTTTGGTGCTGAACCCCATATGTGGGAACAGTATTCTAGAACAGGCCGTATCTGCGCTTTGTAGATCATGAGAAGCTGTTGAGGTGTGAAGTAGCTTTTCGCACGGAACAAGAATCCAAGTTTTTGTGAAGCAGCTTTTGCGATGGATCTGACATGATTATCCCATGAAAGAGTGTTGCTGATGGAAATACCGAGCATAGATATGGTGGGCTTGGTGGGGATGGTGGAGCCAGACATTACAATATCGGGCATACTGAGTTCCGCCTTTCTAGAGAAAATGCAGGCTTGAGTTTTGGTGGCGTTGAATTCAACTAGGTTGTTTGATCCCCAGGCTGTGATTTCAGCAAGATCATCATTGACAGCATTGACCTGCCTGCGCCGTGAGTTCTTAGTTTCCTGGGAAGAAATGGGAATTCTGGAAGAGAACGCAGTATGGAGGGTACTATCATCTGCAAAGCTGTGGATGGGGCAAGTTGTTACTCCCAACAGATCATTGATATGAATCAGGAATAATGTTGGTGCCAAAATTGATCCTTGTGGAACGCCGGAATTGATGCCAATGGTATCAGACGATACACCATCCACCACCACGTGAAGCGATCTGCCTGAAAGAAAACTCGATAAGAGATGGCATAGCTGAGGTGGTAAGCCGTATGATGGTAGTTTGTGGAGGAGTCCTTCGTGCCAAACACGGTCGAATGCTTTCGATATGTCCAACGCGACAGCTAGAGATTCCCCGTGTTTTTCTATTGAAGATTGCCATAAATGGGTGACGTAGGCAAGTAGATCTCCAGTAGATCTTCGGTGGCGAAAGCCGTATTGTCTATCATTGATGATTCCTGAGCTCTCCAGATATTTGATGAGCTCAATGTTGATGGCTTTTTCCATCACTTTGGAGATTACTGATAACAGGGCAATGGGCCTGTAGTTGTTGGGCAGGTTCTTGTTCCCTTTTTTGGGGATTGGTTGGACTCTAGCTGTCTTCCAGCATGATGGAAAAATACCCGACCTGTACGAGATGGTAAACAACTTGCAGAGGATCGGTGTTAATTCCGGTGCACATTTTTTGAGGATAATGGGTGGAATTCCATCAGGACCGTTAGCCTTATTCGTTTTGAGATCAAGCAAAATTCGTCTGATGGTGCGTTGACGGAAGACGATTTCGGGCATTCGACTCTCAACGGGTGGAATGTCTGGCGGCAGTTTTCCTTGGGAATCTAAAGTAGAGTTTGCTGCGAACATCTCTGCAAAGATATTTGCTTTCTCCTGCGATGTTGTTGCTAATGTGCCGTCGGATTTGGACAGTGGTGGAAATGAACTATTAGTGAAATTTCTTCCGACCGCTTTAGCAAGGGACCAAAACGAACGGGAGCCATTGGGGCAATCTATGAGTTTCGATCTTATCTTGGCATTGTATGTTTCTTTAGAAGCATCTATTGTTTGGCTGCAGTTATTCCTGGCATCAACGTATTCTGCTCTAGTCGCGAGGTTAGGGTTTTTGCGTCAGTTTTAACATGTAAACATTAAATGTTCAAAATATAGTATAGGTGCCATTTAGGATTCCCGGAAACTCTTTAAAATACAATATCTGTTTCATTGTTCAGTATTTAGTATTTTTTCACAATACTTCATGAGTAAAAAACATGTAGGCCATACAAAAAAGTAAATAACGTACTGGATATTGGTTTTTGAAAGTAGTTTCGCTGCTTGTGGAACGACTGATTTTTTTCCCAGTATTTCCTCGTGCATCAGAATGAGTAAAGTGCGATTCAAATAAGTACAAAATATATTTAGATAATAAAATTAATGAACAAACTCTGCCATTCCTGCCAATAATGTTTGTGGTGTTATATCTCCAAAGCAATATACATTCAACTATGGTAACTGGGCCCTTATTTTTTTTATCCAAACTAACCTGAATAGGCCAATTCTAATCACTGATGCAATTCTAATTTAGTGAAAAAAATTTTCAACAGTACAGCCACCTCAGAAATCATGAGAAACCAGTTGACCATAGCGAATAGGTGCATACTTCTTGCT